ACCTTTACTCAGTGACACTTGTGTTAAGTCACTCCAGCAGTTTTCTGTTACATATTTGAACTACTTCTTCCTCTGCTCTGTTAAATGAATAACTCACTCTGGCAGACTTGGGTTTCACATAAGCACAAACTGAGCCTACACTCTTAAAAGACTGGTCGTGAAAATGAATCTTCTTTGCTAAGGTTGGCAGACATGATGCTCTGCCCACTAACTTTTTACAAGCTCAGACGTCAGTTGTTTTGTCTATGCTGTGCACTGGAGACGTTTAAGAGTCTGTTTTGTAGTAGTCTGTTTTTATCACTGAAAATGGTTATATCAGAACATCTTACTTCTGCAAAAGGAGTCTCTCAGTCGATGGAGAGACATACTTAACCTGGAGTCAGTGATTTTATCTGAAAGAAGCACATGGTGCTTCTGAATGAGGTTTATTGGATTAACAGATTTTGAAGAGTCTAAACAAAGGATTTTATTTATGTATTTTTGGATTGTGCCTTGATAAGCATCCTCTCTTTTTCAATGGAATTCTGTTCATTCATTTTTTATATTTTTACATGAATAAAAAAAACAAAAAAACAAATGGAAAAACACAACATTCTTACTATGAGCAGAGTTGCCTCTCCACAGATTTGACCAGTAACCAGCATCACCTGATTGTTTCCATGGAAAATTACAATTTTATTCCCCTACTCTGGAACATCTGGGTAAAGCAATGACATGGAGACATTTCAGTGGTGGACCCTCTTCCAGAAAAGTGACATAGTATAGTGTATAGTTTATGTATAGTGACATAGTATATTGTATACTTTTTAAGTTATTCAGATAATATGGTATACTAACATATATTTTTCATTGTATGTGATCATGGGTGCAATGTTGTTCTTTTGATAGAGACTTGTACAACAGTTAAGTTGTTATAGGAAGCATATCACACTTTAATTCTTTATTGACTTCTGTGATTCCCCAAATACATCCATACATATTCTTGGGTGGCCAGATCATCTAATGCATGTGCTCCTGGAAAGTGAGTGGTTTTCAGATTAAATTTCTTATAAAGTTTCTAATTGTTGTTCTTGGACTATAACTGCAACAAACCCACTGTTTTCCAAGTGATTGAGTGTTATCATTATGTGCTTTAAATAAGTTACCCTTAGTAATTTATATATACACCCAAAACAGGATTTACATTATTGCATGTTGTGTACGCAAATCTCAAAGACTTCTTCAGTGCATCTGTAGTAATTGCAGATTTTTGTTTTTGAATGTTTTGGTGTGTGGGTTTGTTTGTCTATGTTACACTGCACAGAGGGCCCACACAGAGAGATCCAACTGCAAAAAGAGATGTTTCATTTGACACTGCCAACCAAAACATGAATGCTTGAGAAACCCCTCCAGAATACCTCTGAACAGAAAATCTATACAAATGAAGATGGTTGTGATAACTCAGTCTACAAGCTCTTACTATTGAAGTGTATGGGAGCATTGAGTGAGGGGAGGTACAGTTCTTTCATTCAGACTGAACCATAATGTAGTTCCTTGGTGACATGAAGACCTCTCACTATACCTACACGAAGTTTACCAAAACATTTTTAAAGACCAGAAGCAGAATGGGATATTTCTATGTACTTTATCTATATTTACTGACGTTAAAGGTGCGCTGTGTAACTTTTCTGGCTCAGTTACCTGCTTCTACTAGAATCTCCAACAGCATGGCAATAAACTCATCTATCACAGCAGAGACAAACAGCTGGCCAAGTTACTGGTCAGATCTATGGAAAGGTGATCTGCTCTGCTGCTTCAAGTGTATTTTGGAGCAACAAAAACATGCATAATTGAATACATGTAAAGTTCATACAATAGCATAATACCGTAGAGCTTTCCAGGAAAGCAACATCTCAATGGAGACAAGCTGAATCACCACTAGAAAAGTTACACAGTAGACCCTTTATTTATGAGCTTGTACTTCACCTTCTACTTTCTACTTCACCGAATTTCATAACACATATTTATACTTTTTGAATCGTATCAACATTTCCCTGCTGTCCTCTGTTTTTGAGCTTGATCGTGATGGCTCATCGATAAACATACTTTGGTGTGGGAAGCAGTGTTTGCATGAAGTACATCGTTTACATGGTTAAGTTAGCAATTTTGGTCAGGCAGAGAACAAGGAAGCTGTCTTGTTTGAAAAGCACGGCACATGTTTTGGTTAGTATTAGTCAGCATTGACTCTATGACTATTTGCAGTACCATGTAAAGTAAATTATCATATGAATGAAAACCAAGCAAAACACAATTTGGGTCACAATTGAAGATATTTAGAAAAGTAGCGAAAGTATAAATTTGTTAGGATTTATTAGTAATAAAACATTAGAGGTTTTGAGGGTTGAGCTCTGATCGCTTTAAAAACAGAATTTAAAGGTGTTACTTTTTAACATTGTATTTTATAATATGAAAAACAGAACTAATTCACTGTAAACAGTTTGCAGTAGCCCAAAGTTATTCTTTGCTTACCCAAGTGCATTCCTGATATCCTAATGAGCCACCATGATGAATTTAAAGTGTTTTGAAAGTGTTTTTCTCAACTTTCAGAGACCAGTAAGACAGTGAGACAGTATAGCTAATCAGTAAAGCTTATGCTACTGCACACTTCCTAATATTGGACAATAAATGCTTTCTAATTAGATGCAGACAGAAAGCCACGGACTTCATTTGATCTCAGATTAGACATATTTTGCTGAAATACATGGGACAAAAATCAGGTACAGGGTCTTCAATGAATGAATAATTTGTTGTTTATGATTACATGTGGGTTTTTTTTATTATTGATTTGACTGATTTATTGATTAGAGAAACAATGAAATTAAAATAAGATTAAAATGAATTTGACAGCTACCCTGCTCTCTTGAAGACTGCATTCATCTGTCCAGTTCAAAGTAACTGACTTTTTTCCCCATGTGTTTGAGCAAAATGTGTCTTGCCCCAGTACAAATATATTGTATAAGCAGCTCTTGAGCCTGTTGTGTGCTGTCTTCTAATTATAAAGCGTTTTATTGACAGATAATTAGGATCAATAATATTTGATAATATAATATAGTATGTAAACATTTATAGCAATCACCCAGAGAAAAAGAAAAGTTGAGAACCTTGACTAATGGCTTCTCAAGTGCATATCTACCGGTTGGTCCTAATGCAGATTCCTATAGCCTAGGGTCTGAACCCTGTGCTGTAGCTCTGTGCTTGAGTGAGGAGGGGACAGGGTTCAGGGGAGCAGGTCTGAACAGGTCCCTGCAGTAGATCTGAGAAGCGCTAGGAGCACAACACCAGGATAAGATTTTACAGATTACACTGAAACTACAGCAGCACGCGACCTAATTAAACACAAGCACAACCTTTGAACCACAAGTGTATTGTGGAACACTAGCTATGCTTCACATCGAAGATTATGAATGAAGAAGTTAAAGGCCCCTGTACTTGATTTTTTTCCCATGTAGTTGAGCAAAATGCCCCCAGTGCAGATGTAATAGTAGTATACTGTAAACAAGAAAAACAGAACTTGTTAACATTAAATGGTGACCTCAAGAGCTGCTTTACACAACCTATCTGCACTGGGGCAAGATGATTATTTTCTCAAATGTGGGTACAGGCGATGGTCTTTAATTATTGCACTGTTACGAAATAGCCTATATAGTTTTATTTGGGTTGTTGTTTAGCCGCTGTAATTATCCGTCTGTGCCCTTTTAAAATCAGTCAGAAGTTATTCACCCATCTGTAGACTTTGACTCATCCAAGAGCATTTAGCATCTCAGTTTATAATTTAGCTTTCCTCAAAATCCTAAATAAGAAATTCCTTTGTATTCTCTCTTTGATGTCTGGAACATTAGAAAAAATCATATTTCAGAAACTTCCTTTGGAGCAGTTATTCTGAATGCGTTTCAGTGCAGTGAATGTTTTGATGTGCACGATTGCGGCATGCTGGCACTGTGTCCATATTGATTTAGTTGTGGTTGTCTGGGTCTGTAGTGTTTTGTGGTTGTGGCCTTTTTTTACCCTAAGGCTCTTTTAAAGCTCATATGAGGTGGATCATCATGTGCCCGAGCTTGAAAAAGTGGCTGCAGTCATAACATCTGTTTACCAGTCCCAAATTCCTAGAAAGAATATACACATCAGGTGAAACAAGGACTTTGCATTTAATTTAAGTGAACAGTTTTTTAAAGTTGGGTGAAGTAAAGTCGGGCTGAATGATTTGGGAAAAATATGTAATTGCACGTTTTATGACGAGCATTCTGATTGTGATTATTTGTGATTTATATTTGAACAATAGGGTTCTATTCAGTGCTTCTATTGTATTGACAAAAAGACTGAAATAAGAGCTGACAAACTAATACTAGAATCACATTTCAGAACACAATACACATCTAAATTACAGAGTTAAGAGATTTTATGCAGCATAGGTAAGGATATTTTGTTGTTTATGGATGAAATTTTGGCACTTCAGAAATAGCAGCATTTGCAGTTTGCTTGCATTCATTCAAATGCTGATTTTGATTCAGTTGCGATTAATCTTGAAGCACTAGCAGTCAGTGTATATTATTTTGACTGAAATGATTTTAGCAGCCAAGTTTCTTCACAATATGTTTGCTTGGAACATGTTGCAGAAAGACTGGAAACTGACTGAGCTCTTGTCCTTAAATGCTTTTAAATCTAAGGTCAAAACATCAGAGACTGCCTCAATAATGTGTAATGTTTTTTAATTTATAATCAGTGTCATTTTATTGTTGTTTACTTGTGTTGTAACTATGTAATTGCTGCCTCTTGGCCAGGACTACATTTAAAAAGAGGTTTTTAATCTAAAACCTTAAATTTTCCTCGTTAAATAAAGATTAAATGAAACAAAAAATAAATGAAAATGCAATTAGGTGATTTATTCCATCATAACAGCTGGACTATTTATTTTGCTATTGAAAACATAACATGAGGGATGTATTTGTGCTTGTTTGTTACAGGGATCCCCGTGCTATACCCCATGAATGCTCTGTGTAAGTTCTGTGATCTGGAGCTTTCGTCCTGCACTGGCACCGGGACATGTATGACCAACTGCTCCATCACCTCCATCTGTTCATTCAACGCGGAGGTCTGCGTCTCCATTTGGTATGTACTATTAATATACTGTTTTTATCAGTTTAGATGTACATTTTCTCAAAGACATCAACTTTTACTTGAAAATGTTTGTTTTCACTAACCCATCATACACACCCACTATTATGCATTTATTTTGTTCTTTGATATCTAAGATTTTGGATCAATATTGTAATTAAACATGTCCAACTATATAACATACACAAGAATTATATTTATTCTTTAAAGGGCCCATATTACGCTATTTTCAGATCTATGCTATAATGTTTCCTCATCACAAACATACTGGTAGTTGTGTTTTGATTCATTCACACATGTTTAACACACAAATCCTGCACATTTAGACTGAGTTCACCTTGTGATGTCATGTGGTAATACAGGAAGTGGAACAGAGCATGTAGACACACTAATAATAAAGGATTACACAAACATGTGTGAATGAAACTAAACATTACTCCAGGTGTCTTTTTGAGGAGTTAACAGCATTATAATATAAAAAGCTCACATGAGTCGTAATATAGGACCTTTAATTTTCAATGTGCCAACAACCTGTTATAAAATTACATCACATATGACAAAAAATCTCTCAATGCAATGAGTCTAGTGCAGTCTAGTCTCTGTATGCTTACTACTACTTGACTTGTTGTTTCCTTTACTCTCCAGGAGGAAGAATGAGACCAGTTACTCCATTGAGACGCTGTGCCACGACCCCTCCAAGCCTCTGTACGGAGTGATGTTGGATGACTACAACAGCTCCACGTGTGTAATGAAGGAGAAGAACACCACCAGTGGGCCAGCATTTCTCTGCTCCTGCACTGAGGAAGAGGAGGGGGAATGCAATGACAAGCTCTTTTTCCCACCCAGTAAGGATTGCATTCACATTATCATCATGCTAGACTTAAAGATCCTGTAGACTCTTTATACTAGCAGCATTGAAAACAACTGATAATCTAAACCACTTAGAAATATTCCATCCAGAATTAATCATAGGATTTAGTGTTCTTTGTTAGTGCCAAACCTGGATAAATTGATTGGATTGTGGCTGGTTTAGAACGCATTTCACATGAAGAAATCCTGTTGGTTTAAACAAAAAGGATGCTCTCTGATCTGAAACCACATTATGTAAACCCCAGCACCTGCAGCCAGTGATTTATTGACTGCAGGTGCTAGTGCAGCCTCTGAGTCAATTCTAGACATTCTGAACACATGAAACATGACCATCCTATACAGGGAAATACTTTAATGTGTCCTCTATCTGCAGGTTTAGGCACTGACAACCCAGGTTTTGTTGTGACAGGCTACACACAGTTCATTTAAATGCACATAATAGGCATATGGAAGGTAGATAAAGTTTAATTTAATGAAAGAAGCATGATCATAGAAATGTTATATTAAAATTACAAACAAAACAAACAAAAGATAGAAGAAACAGTTGAGAAAACTTGTGATGTTTGTAAATGAGTAATAAATATAGGGTAATCCAGAAAGCAGAAGCCATAAAATGTGCCAACTGGAATAATGGTCTGATGAGGAAGTGGTACTGCACGTGGTAATTTACAGTTCGAGAGGCAGTGTAATGAAGGTTTTGGTTGTAACTGTATTGGTTGGATTAATTTGTGGCTAGTCCTCTTCTTTTTACTTTTTGTGAATGTTTGCTATGTGTAATTTTAAATGGACAGTCAGTTGTGAAATAAATCACAAGTACCAGAATAAATAAATAAAGATTTCTGGCACAAACCAGGCATAACCATGATAACAAGTCAGAGTACAGTATATAGACTTAAGCTCATGTCATTGTATACTGAGACACGTCTGATCAGTTTGCTATGTTGATGGACTGGTATTTTAAGTACAACCTATTTGTGAAAGGTCAGCTACAACTACTATCTACTACTAAATAATTGAATACATGTTCTGAGAATATGTATTCTGAATACTAACTGTATTCTGATACAGCGAGTTTCTCATTAGGAGTATACGGAATACAGTTACTTTTCTAAAATCAAAGGAATGCATGGCAGTACTTAATCCCACAGTTTAAGATTCACCCTGTACATAACTATTGAGAAAAATAGAAAACACTGCTCTTGTGGTGAGTGCATGTGTGCTTTTTTCCTTCCTTAAGTAGTGATAAATAAAAGAATAACAAACAGTGATTCAAACATGAAGCCATTTTTACCCCAAATCCAAATTTTACTATGTAATTTAAATGCAACTCTGTGTGAAAGTACACTTAAGTATTTAGAATACAGTCCTCTGATTGACCCATGTAACATAATGTGCTACAAAAGCAAGTATTCAGTATTCTGCTACTGAATTTTAATGCACACTATCATTGCTTATTGCTTGTTATTATATCAACAATGGCATACTAGTGTTGAAAATGGCTGTAATATACCTATAGATATCCTGTAATGTGGTGGCATCATTCCAGCCCATTCTTCACACTGTTTTCAGAAAAACATACTTACCGTAATCTCAAACCATAATGACACTTAAAAATTCATTTATGAGACATTAATTATCTTAAAGCTGCAGTTAGTGCTTGGTTATGGTTACAGAGTATACTTGGTAGTTGGATTGTGAAGGAACCTTGAATTTAGAACATACATTCCCATAGGTTTTTTGTTTGGTGCACAGATTCCCAAATGATCTGATGTGAGACCCAGTTTCATCCATGCAAATCCTAAACCCCCAAATATTGTTTTCTGCATGTTCTAAATTTGTGGTTCATGTAGGAATTGCATACCTTATACCATGCTATCTAATCAAAATATTTAGTATGCTCACTTACTGTAGTACTGTGTTACCTTAAGATCACATACTTCCGGGTCAGTACTGTAACCACATTTTATCACTGTTCTCGGTGTGGTGAGGTGCTTTCTCTATGATCTTTGCTGTCACATCTCTACAGGAAACTGCATGTTCTTGGCCTACTTATGTGGACTTGGTGTACTTGATTTTAGAAGTGAAAATATATTTTAAATATTCTATGGGTACATTTTTACTTACAAGAATATACTTCTCTTGTTATGTTCATACTTTTTTTTATCTCTCTTTAAAAAATGTTGTGCTTTAAATTTTAGTAGTAGTTATTATTATATTATTAGTATTATTTAAAAAATAGTAATTGCAGTAATAGTGACCTTTTTATTAAGTTTATTAAGCCCTTTATTAATGTTAATTGTTCACACTGTAACTTAGCAAGACAGATTATTCTGAAACATTTGCATGAGTACTACCTCACTTGTGAAAGTTGTGGGTTTTTACTTTTGGTTTCATTTTGATGGCATTAAAGTTTGATATACCTGACATAACTATAATGTTGTAAACTACTTCATCTTTAGTAACCAAAATTTATTGTAACTGAACTTTGACTACTTCCACCTGCATGTTTACCCAGCTCATTTCCAAAGCTGTGGGTAGTTCTGGCCTCAGTACTGTCACATTAATTTGAAGAATGCACCGTCATCATAAACAGGATATGGAAATGCTGAGATGTGTGTGCATATCTCACAACATGACCTAGAGGGGAATCCTCCACGTGGTCACACATGAGCAGCTAGTTCTGAATAACTCCAAAAAAAAAAACCTGCAGTCTGTTTGGGGTAGGCCTCAGAGCAGTGTTCAGACATATGGTTTCCTGTGTTTAGTGCCAATCAGAAACATTTTAAGCACGTGGTGGTGAGAGCTCAGGCACGGAGGAGGAGGATATAAGGCAGAGTCTGCTACTGCTGCTATACCATCAGGCTTTCCAATGGCGTAATGATTACAGTGAATGCTATCTTATTTGACCAATGTAGCTACTGTATATTTTAGTCTACATCCTATGTGATTTTAATGCTATACTATATGATAACCAGTCTAGGCTGTAGTGATTAGAGGTGGGCGATATTGACAAAAACAAATATCTTGATAATTTAGCATATTTTTAAAACAATGAATGCAATATTATCCATTCTGCTATATATCTTACACTTCTAATAGAGACATTTGTAATATCAGTCACACATTTTACTAACAAAATTGAGAGTGAGATACATTTATGCAGAAAATTTTGCAATAAACGTTAACATTTAAGACTACTTTATACCACAAACCTAAAACATGATAATGGCAGTAAAGTTGTATAATACTTTTTTTTTTCCTTTTTTTTATAATATTGATGAAAGAGTATAATATTAAATAAAGAAATGTGTTATCTTAGCCCTTGTAATAATAAATTAAACTTTTCATTTATTGTTTCAAGGCACTCAAATTCCATAAACAAACATATTAGTGAACTGGCTGCTCTGACAGTGTTTACAGTTGCCTCTTTATCTTCTGGTGAGATTGATTCAACCCAAATTCTCCCATTACACCACTCCACAAGTATCTTATCTGCATGGAATAATTTGTGTGCTGCAAATTAGACAAACCTCCACTGACTTGGCTGTTCCAACAAGCATTTGTGGTCTGTGAATTAGCCGTGATTTCACAAATATGAATGACTGCGACCAGAATGGGGAAGCAAGTTTTTCCAAATCCACACAGAATTTGTAAACAAGTAGGAATCTTCTCTAATTATATTATACTACATTTTAATGTTTAAATCACAAATAATGAGGGATTTGCAAAAGATGCTGTTCGTTGCTTACTAACTACATCTTTAAAAATCGCATTTGCATGGGACATTTTAAGGTTCATTACATAACCCTCTGGCGGAATATTATTTCTGTGATTGGAATGTTCCTCATTAAATTGTGCGTCATTAAACTTACCTGTTTCTAGCAGGTGACATCACCAGACCAAGATACAGGTCAGATCTGTCAAGAGGCAAGCCCACCCACTGTAAATTTTTCAAGATATTGATATAGATTAAGATGCATGTAACTGAAATATAGATAGATAGATTAATTGATTGATTGATTAATGTCATACTGTTGAATATTCCAGCCAAAGCAATACATTTCCATGGAGACAAAAATGCATGCAAACCCCCTACCTAAAAAAGCCATACACCTTTAAAGTGAGCTGTGGCTACCAAATTGGGACTTGAATGAAAACACACCAAAATTACAAGTGTATTTATATTTATAGTTTTCCCATTAAAATTGATGGGGTATAAAGCCTTCTCTTGCCCACAAAACACTTGAATTAAATTGCATTATACCACCGACACTTAAAGTTTGAAAGGTATGCAAATGATGTAATAAAAACTGTTATATAGTCTTGTCTTTAAACCTTATTGACAGTGCGAGGAACAGGCTGCGGTTCCTTCCTCCCATTGAAGACCTATGGGCAGGATGTGGATGTTTACTGGCCCAGCGCCACTACATTTCTCTCTCCACAAACACTTGGCATTGTTCATCTGCTGCGTTACATTCTGATGACGTGCCTAATAGTGCTGGGGAGTGCGCTTTATTGCCTCTCGTGTGTGACTGTTTGACAAGTGCTGCTAACAGGGAGTGAGTATAGGAGCACGTGGTTGTTTTGGAATCTGGATAGATTAAAGGGAAATAAAGGATAGAGAAAGAAGTGCACGATTTTGGATAAAAAAATGAAACTCTAATTTTTCTGAGAAGTATTGAGAATGTGATTAGGAAATATGTTTTTAAAAAGTGATATTCAGTTTCGAGTCCGCATTTTCAAGACAAATGTGAGCAGTAATATCTGAGAGGTTATGGTATGAATTACCTACTAGTAATTCAAATGACAGACTTTATTTACACAAAAAATGACAAATTTATAACTTTGCCCATTTTTGGATTTGATTGCAATTTATTGTGCAGTTCTAATTCAGAATATGTACTCAAGTAAAAGTAGTTTTGTGTTATATTACTTATATATAGCACATAAGTAATTTACAATCTACTGGTAATAA